ATGTGGCAAATCCAGGTTACCAAAGGTATCAGGGTCAGCAGTTACAGCGGTCTAGTATTGAAAATCCGGGGAATGGTCTGGCTGACTGGTTCGTAATCAAACACACCAAGGATCAAGCGTTGTTGCGCTATTTGCTTTCAAAATACGGTTTTAAGGCTGCGGATGCAACACAGGTAGGTATAACTAAAAACAAGGCAAAATTGCCGTTTTACTGTGTGTGTCTTCAAGGCTATAACTGTACAAATACAAGGCACCAGGTCATTACCCGCGGGAGTAGCATGATTTTTCCCTCTTAACGTCTGGCAATTCAAAGCTAAGGTAGAGAAGGTAGTGCTCGTCCACAACTCATTTTTTGTTTGTTTGTTTGAATCTTTTTTTTTCTTTTTGACGAATTTGGCGAGCCTGCGAGCGAATCGAGCGCGAGTAGAAAGAAAGGGAAAAAAATCTATTTTCTTCTTTCTTCATCCTTCGCGGTTGAATTTTGTTTATTTCCATACTCTTTTTTTGAGATGAAGAATCCAAGTCCTGAAGTTTTTCTTGAAATTACGGAGTTTCACTCCTTCATTGTTAAAGACTTTCGAGACTCAGTTTATATTTAGCATATGGCGCAATGGCGGCCGCACGTGTTTTTTAACGTTGGCCAAATTTTCGGCTACCATCGTTAAGTACAGGCATCTGCAATTGTATTGCTTTGATGGCAACTAAAGATGAAATTAAGTCACTCTTGGAGGAAAAATTGGACCTCTAGAAGCTAAATTAACCTCGATTGAAAAGTCATTCTCTGAATTGGAAAAGTCGGTCAAACACTTCTCCGCAAAGTATGATGAGCTCTTGAAGCAAGTACAGCGCTCAAATGATAGAACAGCAAGCCTTTCCACTGATGTCAAGAACCTAAGGGAAGATATGAAGCAGTGCAAGAAAATAGGGCGCGAAATTGAAGACCTTTCTCAATACTTGCGCCGCGACTGCTTGGAGCTGACAGGCGTTTTACCAACCGAAGAAGTATCTTGTTTTGACCTTGTTTGTTCTATTGGGAACCCTTACCAAACCATATGTATTTTGAAACTGATTTTAAAGTGTTTAAAATGTATTTTCAGTATTTGAATACTATTTTCCAGTATTTTAATCCTATTTGACAAAAAAATTTAAATTTTCGCCCCTGTTTGGAATATATCTTAAGTGTAGTTAAATTATATTTCATCAAAAGGAAAACCTCTCTCATCAATTTACAATGTATTTTGTTTAATAAATATGATTAAAATGGGGTATTTCAAATGTATTTTGGGCATAGAACCACTAACACTGTTACAAACAGAGTTCAAATAGACTATTTGAAATATGTTTTAAGGGCTTAAATGCGACTGTTTTTTAAATACTTTTAAATAGGGTGCTTTAACACTGTTTTGAGTTGCATCTACAATGTATTTTGAGGCGCATTCACTCACAAAGTTACAAACATAATTCAAATAGACTATTTAAAATATGTTTTGAGAGCCTAAATGCTGACCGTATCTTAAATACTTTTAAATAGGGTACTTTAACACTGTTTTGAGTTGTATCGAAAATGTATTTTGAGACGCATCCACTCACAAAGTTACAAACAGAGTTCAAATAGACTATTTGAAATATGTTTTAAGTCCTTAACTACTGACCGCATTTCAAATACTTTTAAATAGGGTACTTAAACACTGTTTTGAGGTCTATTTGAATTGTAGTTTGGGCACACAACACTCTGACTATAAAAACAGATTGTACATAAAATATTTAAAGTCTGCTGAAAGACATCAAATGCTGACCTTATTTTAAATACTTTAAAATAGGGTACTTATTACTTATTATTATTGAGGTGCAATATTGTAATGTATTTTGGGATACTTATACTCAGACTATAAAAGTAACAATTGCACAAAGTTAATTTTTAAGCCTTCATCGTGTCACGAACTCATAAATGACTCAAAACAAGCTGTCACATATTGTGGACCGGATTCTTCTCTCAACAAAATTCGAAGCTGACCGAAAAATTAAATCTCCCAGCAAATCAAAAAGAAATTGATAAAACAGAAGAAAATTAGGAATAGATTTCAGCTTTGACTGACAACACCTAACTGTGACAGTGTGCCGATAAAAGATCAATCCGTTCCTCAATGTTCATTACCTGCAAACTCTCTGCGAAAATCGCCGCCTAGATTTTAGCCGTGATTCAATTATTGCATTTACGGGACATTCCATAAGTTTTTTTAAAAAGAAGCTTATTAAAATCGCATTTTAATTTCATTTTGAAATTTTCACAAACAGACAAAGCCGCGGGCCGAGAACCGGATGCTCGCGGTCAAGGTTTGTCTAAAATAAGCCCTTGAAATTACATAATAAACAAACTATCCAAGCTAAGATCTCACCTCGTATATATTGCACCAAGAAACAACGCTCAGATCTGAATAAACTCCGACATATGGTTATCTTTCTCTCATGGATTATTGCGCACATGCATGGCATATTATTTCTGAGATGTCACGCGCGACTGAAATCACGACTTCGCGCCGCGGTGATGTGACAAATGCACGTGATAAGCAAACCGTCCTTTGTCCTTTGCTCATTTCAAATTATTGAACCGGCGGTTGCTCCCGGGCGGTTGCTGTGAGCTTAAATGCGCTTGATTTTACTGTTTGTTACGATCTTACAAAAGTACACTCCAACTCTGCGGATTGTCGGAACACGTAGATGTTGCTTTTATCACGAATCAAAAATGGTTATGACTCCTCAGCGACTGTTATGTACTTTGAAAGGTTCTGGTTCAGGAGAAGAGTCCAACAGTCTAATTGTAAGTATTAAATATACAATGTTACTAAGACGCTTAGATATACGCCATATGAGAAACAAATGAAGGGTAGTAAACATTCATATAGTCGCGCCCGTACGGCAATTTTACTTTTTACAGGATTCCTTGCAGAGACTCGCTGTTTTGTATAAATGATCTCAGTCACTTGATGTCACGTCACCGGCCTCTTTCATTCTCGCGTAAATTTATTCGTATGCTGTTCTTTATCAGCCACTAATTAATGTTCAGGCGTAGCCTGCGTTAAGCTTCTGATGATATTTGAGTAAAGCCGTGAATATAATAAACAATGTAAGTTACATGCATGTAGATTAATATTTACCGGTAACGTCAGTAACGTTATACCCTTTTGAAGCCAAAGGTTGATAGCCTGTGTACATACCCCCCCACCCCTCCCCTCCGAGTTTTATTGAGGGAAGGGGTCTGTACACAGGCTAAAGATTGATTTGAGCATTTCTGAAAAATTCCATAAGAATTTCCCGAGAATTCTTAGGGAAATCAACGTAAAGTAATCGGCTAAGAGATAATTCTCTTGAAGTCCTAGCCTAGGACTGTGTGGAGAAATTTCGCCGAGGTAAATCTTGCTTTTTCAGGGTAATTTTCGACGGTTTTGTATTCATTTTATTTCATGAATTTAAATGGTATTTCCATCCTGTTTTTGTACTATTTTTATGCTCTTTCGACCGATTTTTATACTGTTTTCAGACAACTCTAAGGCTATGTTCTTACAATTTTATACTGTTTTGCATTTTTGCATCCTATTTTTGAGGTATTTAATTCATAATATATGTGTGCTATGGCATGGGTCGCACTTGGCAAATTTTTGCGAGAATTTGTTTACCTTGCGGTAGAAATCTGTCATCGGTGGACATTGCTAAGTGCGACCCCGAGTTTTCAAGTTAGGAAAAACTTTGAAAATCGGCAAAAACATCAAAGACGCCGTAGTGCTTGGGTGGGGCAGGCAGATTTTGGAAAACTCGAGCTAAACAATAGGAATCACAGCGGTAACTGTCAGCGCCTTGTCATGAACGTGATCCATTTGAAACACGATCAATTTAAAATAAACGCGGTCGAATTTTCAGACCTTCGCTATCCGCCATTTCAAGTTTTTTTCGAAAACTCTCTACAGGCAAGGACTTCACTCGCTTATAAACCTTCGCTATTTTAAGGTTTTTACGGGAACGAGCTCTATTGAAGGCGAACCAGTTCCCGTCTGCACAAGCAAACACTTCACAGGTTTGTTATTCTCCAAGCCAAATGTACTATTCGCATCCAAGCACTTTCCGGTCTTCTTTATCTGTCCCATCCTCCTGAAACTGGGAATGGAGGAAAAAGATCCTTCGACAGAGGTGCGGACGAAGAAGAGAAGAATGTTTTCTGGTATCTGGCGTTCTTAAGTTCTCAATGTGTCAAAGCAAAAACTATTAACTCCCACTAATGCGACCCTCCTCGGTTGGACTAAAAGTTTTCTTTTCCGGTTGCGGTTTCGAATTTTTGTGGTTTTTTAGCCGGCAAAGATGAAAACTTTTCCCAAGTGCGACCCATGCCTATTGCTTTTCTTCTTCTGTGGTATTTTAATACTGTTTTCAAAGTATTTTTATTGTATTTGCAAATACGAGTATTTTACTAAATTTCGAAACCGATTAAACAGCTATTAAAATATATTTTGAAGCATAACATTTTAATAGCGTTTTAAACAGGTTAAAACACCTTTAAAATCAGTCGAAAAATATATCAAAAATATATTTTTGTACCTATTTTAAACCTGTTTTTTTCAAAATACGTTTAAAATTGCCATTAAAAATAGTTTTAAAATAGTATAGTAAATTAAAATACGTTTTTGAAACTGTTTTTATCCTGTTTTTATTCCGATTTATAAGGTATTTAAAAACTGTTTTTGACCTGTTTTGAGCCTTGCAAAAGCCCTGGAATTTTTTATATATTTTAAAAGCATTTTAAAATACTTTAAAAATTTTTTTTAATAGCGTTTTAAACAGGTTAAAACACCTTTAAAAGCAGTCGAAAAATACATTAAAAATACACTTTTTACCCTATTTAAAACCTATTTCACAAAACAGGTTAAAAACAGTTTTCAAAAATAGCTTAAAAATACATTCAAAACAGTGTTGGATTTGGTAAGGGAAGGAAATGGGTATCGAGCTGCAAGATGAAGACATCTCCACGGCCCACCGTTTACCCACTTATAATAAAAGTGCAGAAGACAAGATTATCGTTAAGTTTACGCGTCGCAAGTATTCGGGACGAGTTTTACGGAAAGAGGAAAACAATCGCCGGCAAAGAAGTTGGTAAAGTTGGCACTCTACGGGATCTTTCTCAAGACCCAAAGAAGAAATTATATATCTCCGAGTCGCTAACACAAGCAAGAAAGAAATTGTTTGGCAGCATTAACAAGTTTAAGAAGGACAACAAGTGGAAATATATTTGGACCAACAACGGGCGAATATACCTCAAGCAAGGAGACGGGGAAAAGCGTACGTTCACATTCAACTACGCAGACGAGTTGGCTGACTTCAAAAGTAAATTTCCTCTTGGATAAATGAAGTCTATTTTTTTTTCTTGTATTTAGCAGGTGCATATGCCCAAATTTTGCTGTTTCTAGTATCGATCCTGGTAAGTCATTCAGTTGGAACTGTTCAAGTTATTTAATTATAATCACTTGACACGACTGTGAATTATTTATCGGAACTGCCATTTTGTGGCTTAACAGACAGGCGAGAATTCGCGAAAGCTGTGGGATCATGGGTGTACGATACTGTTCTTACGCTTGAAGAAAGAGATTTACTTTTGAGAACGCTCTTGAAAGCCCTGACAAAAACGATCAGTGGAATTACAAAACTTAATTAACCATGAATTATCCAAAGTTAAAGAATGGTGTGACTTAAACAAGCTATCCATCAACTTAAAGAAAACTAATTATATAATAATTAAGTCACCTAAAAAGAAGACAAATATAACATGGGATGTAAAATTAACTAACAATGATGGCTCCACCTACGGCTTAGAAAAGAGAACTTACATAAAATATTTGGGCGTACTTATAGATGACACGCTATCATGGAAACATCACGTGTCTTATTTATGTACTCGAATTTCTAGAAACAAAGGAATTGTTGGCAAACTCAGACACTGCACCTCCCTTTTACAACTTAAACAACTATACTATAACCTGATCTATCCTTATATATCTTATGCGATAACCTCCTGGGGCAGTGCATTTACTACTCAAATTAAAAAAATCCAGACAAAACAAAATCATGTTATCCGCCTTATGTTCTTTGCCACCTTGTTTGGACCAGATACAGACAGTGCATTACCATTACTTAATTTATTGGATTTACTTACTGTTACAAATATCTATAAACTACAGCTTCTTAACTTCACTTATCAGTGGCATTCTAAAAAATTACCAAATATCTTTAATCAGCATTTTCGCTATGCAAGTGAAGTCCATACATATAATACGAGATATGCTTCAAAAAGTAACTTCTACGTACAAACCACGTTCCAGGACCAATATAGGAAAGCAAACAACAGCGGCTATGGCGACCGAATTGTGGCAACAGCTCCCTACCCATATAAAAGACCTTTCAACTTATAACTTTCCTAAAACATTAAAAGAATACTTGTTGGCCGAACAATTAACTTACTGAAATTATTTTATTTTAATCATATCGTCATGTACTATGATGACTGTTTTCTCTTCTTTTTTTTGCCATCTATTTGCTTTCTTCTTTTTTTTTATGGTGTGTTTATGTCTTAAGATGTTTTGTATGTCTAGTTATTGTGATGTCCTGTACATTCGACGCTACTTTCAAAGAACTAGTTGCTAGCTCGAAAACCTTACGGTTATCTAGCCGCTAGGCATTTCCTTCTATGTAATAATATTTAGTTTAAATTGTAATTGAATATTCTACGTGTTAAGTTACTAAATATTCAATAAGTTTGACAAACCCTGTAATGGAAATGTGAATAAAGTGTTGTTGTTTTTGTTGTTGTTTATATTCAAGGAAAGGTTTTGCTTGAAATCCTACTCAAACTGGAAAAATAAACTTCATCTTCGGAATTAGTTTCATAACTTCAGTTTCAAAAAATGTTTCTCCCTGTTTTCTTTCCAGAAAAGCAATCCACAACTTACAGGATCAAGTTCTTCAACGTGAGTAAAAAAATAGTAAACAGTCTCAGTTTACAAAAACCACGTGCTTGCAAAACAAAATCGTTCTTTAAGGCAATCACGTGTGTACCGACTTGAATCAGCACGTGCACCTTTTGTCACTGTTTGTTACGTGTTATAAGTGCTTTATACCACGTAAGGTTGGTTCGGCGGCCACAGGTGAAGTTAAAACTTTTACAGATACGGTTCTGGGACTATTGTAATTTCTTGCCAAGATTAAACACGCAAATGTCGTAACGAAATTACCATAAGTACGAATATAATAGAGGTGACAGATTCGTGTTTGTATTAATTTCTCACTGTTGTGATTTTCAATGTTTAATACTACCAACGATATAAAAATATTTAGTACTAGTGAGACTTAATCAACGCATAAAGTATTACGAATGGATAGAAATAGTAAAGAATTTAATTTGGCTAAACCAATTCGAGAATTATCATTAGTCGAAACAGAGCACGTTTCCTGTAATAAGAAAAGTGAAATACCATTGAAAGACCATTCCTCACAAACGTATAAACTTTACGTTTTTAAAATAACGGAGCATAATATTCTATTTAACCTTTTAAAAAATCCCTAAGAACAATCAGTATCAAATTCCTCCTTGTTGTAGCAACGCTTCATAAAACAGAGTAACAAAATGGGAGATAAAAGGTATCGAGCCCAGTCCCCTCGGCTCCGAAGGTTACACGTTACTGCACCTACGAGAACATAAAAATAACCTTACATTCATTTATTAATTCATTCTTACGCAGACGATAGCATGAAGCGTTACTAGTTATAAGGCAGTAGGTTCAAAAACACTTGTCTTCAATGTTTTAACATTTAATATTTCTGTTTCAGAAGGATCTGTTCATATTGTGGCAGAATTCCCGCATTGTAGCATCAAGATCATCATTCCGTTCAGATCGGTTGGATTTTTCGCTCCTTTTTATGAAATGACGGACAAGGAAGACTGCGGCTCATTCTCGAAGCAGAATGTATAAATAAGTACACTCAAACCCCGCTTTACGGACACCCGATTATTACGGACAGTTTGCATTGCTTTGGCCCTGGGGAAAGCCCTTGCTTTTTTCCTAATCAGTAACTCGCCTACGAAAACCTCGTTAACACTGTCACTTTCTATGGCCCCTTCAGAGTCCGTATTAATGTGATTTGACTGTATTTAAAACAACTTCTTGGAAGTGATCCCAGTTACACCCATCAGTAGGAAACCTCCATAGTGGGGGTGAAGGGGGGCGCTTTGGGGCGAGGCAGACGGATGACATTTCAGACCACCGTAAAATGTGTGCTTGTTATCATGAAATTAGATGTGCCTCGTTTTTTAATGAAGAAAACTAATATTTTACATTTTTATAGTGTTCATAGGAAAAAGAAATATTTATTATAGAAAAGAAATTCTTAGTCAAGACTTTGTATAGAAAGGTTTAAATTAAATGCAAGAGAAACTAGTTGAGATTACTTCATTTCGAAATTATTGTGATTAGATCACTGCTTTTTTAATGTGTTTTCGTTAACTAAAAGCGTTAAACTACGATTTGCTGAAAGACACGCCTCTCTATTATTAACAAATAAACACACAAAAAATATTGATGATCTCCGAGGATTGAAAGTCCTGCCTTTCATACAAAATCGGAATTAACTTGAAAAAAACCGGTTCGCCGTTCACAAAAATACAATCCATTTAATAGTAATCTCCCTTATTTTTGCCCAATCATCCTGCTTTTACGCTTTTCTGAATTTGTCATGTGTTTTTGCAACGTTTGAAGCAGTTATTATGATTGTTCTCTCTCGGGCTGCGAATTTTTTTTACCGATTTTAACACGAGAATTCACTTAACGCCCTGAATCAAGAATTCACATGTCTCGATGACAATTATCGTACCTGCATTGCCTTGTTTCATGGCAGATCGCGTATAAATAATATGATTTCGTTTCCTTCTGTGACAGACAGATAATATCTAGATAAAGTAGTGTATTCAAAGGTCGTTAAGTTTATTGACCTTATTTTGTCAGGTTGAATTATCACACTCAATATTAGTAAACCACCTTTTTCCTACGACGATTTCGTCCATGTTTTGTGTATGCCGTTGTATTCATACCTTCTTCTAATGTTTTGAGCAGTATTTTTATATTTCTTTTAATTTAATCACAGCTCTCTGACTAACGGTTAGAATTTAGACAAAATTTGAAATAAATGAATCAATGAATCGCTATGTGTTTTAAAAAACCAACGCATTTCCTTGTTCTTGCTCGGTAAGCAGTTTGAAATAACAAAAGGCAATGAATTTCATTACCCTCATTTCACTTATGGATACTAATGAGTGTAAAGTATTAATGAGTCAAATGAGTCAATGAGTCATGAGTCAATGAGTCAATGAGTCAGATCTGAAAAAATAAAAGTTTCGGTAGAAACAATAAAATTAAGCATTACTTTTGCGCAAGGCCTATTTCTGACATGAAACCTCGACCTAGGCTGTTTGTTAGCAGTTCCCAGGCGGGCATATGGAAAAGCCGGAATCCGAAATCCGGAACCGGAGCCGGAAACGGAAACAGAACCGGAACCGGAACTTAAATTGAGACCAGGGTAAACTGGGAAGCACTGAAACCAGTTCCCGATACCCGGGTGGGAATAAAATTCAAGATGGCGTCCTCTGTTATCATTGTTTTGAGAAATTTTCAGCACAGTGATCGTGATACACATTCGGAAAGTGACTTGCAAAAAAAAGGTAAGTGCATCCTACTGTTATTCCTAGCAGTCATAAACTGTGACTGCAGCTGTAGGTCGAGCAATTTTCGACAGATCGAGACTACCAGAAACCGATTGACTGCGAAAAACAGCCATTATTAGTATGTGTGTTTAAGACCGCTGTGTTATTCATTTCCTTCTCTTGAGCCTAAGTAACTCATTTCTTAAAAGCGCTCCCTGTTTCATCCATTGTGAGGAAAAGGCGGCAAAGGGAGGAGGAGTACTCATGTCAATCATGATCCCAAGTTGCAACGCTACGCGTATATGAAATTGTCGAAGAAAAATTTTGCGCCGTACGCAAAAAATGCGACAGTAAAAAATATAATAACAATAAATAAATATAATGTGGGGATGAAAAGTCTTGATCGAGCAATAATTGTTAGTGACACTCTTAAGACAGAAACGTCTCCAAGTTTTATTTCTTAGGTTCGGGTTCCGGTTCCGTTTCCGTTTCCGTTTCCGGCTCCGGTTCCGGATTCCGGATTCCGGCTTTTCCATACGCCCTTCCCAGGCCCTGCCGCATAGCAGAAGCGAAAAATAAGCCAGCCTAAATTTTGTGAGTGCCTCGGAAGAAAGTGTTTAATTCCCTTTAAACACAGCGCTTAAAGTAAATGGAGAC